AGATAGATAGGAGAGAGAGAAGTAGGTAGGTAAGTAGAGAGATAAGAGAGATGATAGATAGATAGATAGATAGATAGATAAGATTAGATTAGATTAGATTAGATTAGATCAGAGGTCTCATTCTCGTGGCCCGTGGGCCAATTGCGGCCCGCAGGACGATATCCTGTGGCCCCCACCGTGATATGAAAAGTATAATATTAGTGTATAATATAAATATAAAGTATAATATTATGCGGCCCAGCCTCACCCAGCCTCTGCCTCCAGCGGCCCCCAGGTAAATTGTGTTTGAGACCCCTGGATTAGATGGTAGATTAGATCTATTACTTTAGTTTAGATTAGTATCTTATGATTCTTGATGAATCTTTTCTTTTCTTTTTATGTACGCTGAGAGCATATACACCAAGACATGTGACTTATGTGTCCAAGCACACCTGAACTCTATTCTATCTATTCTATTCTATGATAGGCAGGCAGGCAGACAGGTAGATTAGATGATAGACAGATATAGGATGGATGGATCATGGATGAAAGAATTAAGAAAAATGGATAATTGGAGAGAGAGAGAGAGAGGATGGACCAAGAGAGAGGGAGAGATGGGTGGATGGTTAGATAATAGATTGATAAAAAGATAACACAGATGGACAGACAGACCAACAGGTGATGGATGAAGATAGACAGACATCTGAGTCTCCAAGGACATCACGACCTTCAGCTAACTTCCTGCATTTATGTCACTCCTAGTGGGACCCCATGCTAGCTTTCCTAACTTGCCAATCACGGCCAGCTGCAAACAGCAGGACTTTCTGAGAAGTGAACGGATGGCCGCTCACCTGAACGGAACTGGTCATGGTGCTGAGGGCAAAAATGGTGGCGCAGTCTTTGACGGTGGACTGGCTGTCGAAAGCGCCCTGGGTGTCCATCAGCACAACGGCGACCTGCAAGCAAGAGGCAAATTCTTGAATATTTACTATTTATTGTTGAACTTCCAAGACGAAGGCTCATCAGGCGTTCTCACTAGCTTGGGCCAATCGGTCGATCTACAGAATTAGATGGAGTAAGGGGATTCTCCACCAGAGGAGGGGGAAAACCCACAAATGATTTTCTTCAGGTCAAATAC